GCCAAGTAGTGCCTGGCACAGTGCTTGGCACATTGTGGATCCTCAGCAAGTATTTTCTGAGGGAATGAATGAGTAAGAATGGCTAGCCCTGGTCACACTTTAGCAAAGTAGATATGGAGGTACATAAGAATATTCAGATTTTCTAACTCTAAAACTGAGTCAGTGGGTTAATGGATGAGTTTAAAATGACCATGTTGACAGGGATGACTTATGTTAAAGAAAGATTGGCTATATTGAGAAGTCAACTCACCACAACAAATAATTCAGGATTTATACTTGTAATGGAAAAGGGTTCTTAGTGAGTCTACTATATGTGTCTTTGAGCATCTCTTAGAGCATTTACCTGTTGGTTTATAAGTCACAGAATCATAAAGAGGAGAGGATCTCAGAAAGCATGCAAATGGTCCAGCCCTTTCAGACCTTCAACCTCTTCAGAATCAATGTCATAGTAAGTAAGATGCTCAGGTTGACTGAACACATCCTGGGACAGAGCTTCTGAATTTTCTTGGGGCACTCTTTTCTGATGAACTCTTAACTACCAGAAAGTCCCTTATTGTACTGAACTGGAATTTGCCTCTTTTTAAATTTATCCACAGAGCCCAGCTCTGTCATACACAACCAATCAAGCAGCGGTTCGAAGCATGGGCTCTGGAGTCATGGAAACTTGCCTTTGAATGGCAGGTTTTATACTGAGGTGCTGTGTGACCCTGAGATGCTGTTCTTAGATAATATCACCTCTCTTGAAACACAAGTTTCTTCTTTGTAAGATGGGGATAATCGTAGTTCCTATGATAACCATAATTCCTACCTCAGGGGTTTGCTTTAAGAAGATGATGAAATAGTATATGCAAACTGCCCATCACACAAAGTATGACACAGAATGCTGTTATTACAATTTTTATAGGCCTTTTCCATTAGCTATTTGATAGAAGCAGGGAGAAAAGTGGCACAAAACAGCAAAGCTAAAACATGAAGCATCTCGGAAGTGACATGTGTGCCTTAGAACCTTACTCTCAAGTGATTCTAGAGTCTCCTCTATGTTTTTTTTTTTTTTTTTTTTTTT